ACGAGACTTAATGTGAATTAGGACATGACTAACACAGAGGAGTAAAGCTGAAATGAACTGCTTTTTCCTTTGGTAGATCAAACAAGGACACATTTCTTAATTATCCTTTTGACAGAGATTGATAGAAGCTCTTTTCTTAATTGGATTAAAAATGTTCTAACAGTAAACCTGAAGCACCTGAATTAGATGTTCAAACACCAAGGTCTGGAAGACATATTTAAAAACACCACTCAATAGTATCATTCTCGGGCAGTTTTGATTACATGCACCAAACTTTAAATGTTTTTCAGATTGGCAGATCTAAATTGTCTGAAACATAAAAGTTAAGGAAAGATCCAGCAGTGTGGAAACGTGTAAATCTAAAGAGAAATGTCAACGGACAGAGTAGTGAAGTGATTTGGGTAAAGATAGCAAGGTGTAGCAATAAATTTAAAATTACAAAAATACATTGATAAATTAAGTGAATAAGCAAAATCAACCAGTTTGGACATAAAAAGAATAGGATACTTTGGAATTGATAAAAGCTGTGGAGATCCAAAGAGACTCAGGAATCTAGATACACCAACTATTAAAATGCCAGGAACAGATACAAAAAATGCCAAAAAGGCTAATGGAATGCTAGTCTTTTATATAAAGGAATAAAGTACAATGTGTAGAAGTCATCCTTCAGCTACACAAAGGCCTATTTGGAGCACAGTTGACATTCTGTAAGCAGTTTTGTTTAGGTAAGGTGTATTGCCTTTGGAAGAAACACAGCATAGATTTACTGGAATCATACCCGGAATTCAAGGATCAATTGTGAGGAGACATTACACAAACTAGGGCTTTGTGTATTCCCTAGAATTTAAATGGTTACAAAGTAATTTGACCAAATCTTTCAAGATATTAAGGAGATATTAAGATATTAAGCTATTTCCAATTGATTATGGAATCTAGGAAAGGCTGCATTAAACTTGCATATGGATCTTTCTGGAATGAAATTGGCAAACATTTCTTCACACAAAGGCTGGTAGAGGTTTGTCCCTCACTAATACAAAAGCTCAATCAATTGCCAATTTTCTGAGATTTGCTGGATTTTTGTTAACTTTAAATAATAAGGGATACTGGCATCGGAACTGGTTGCAGATCAGCCAAGATCTCACTGAATAGCAGAGCACGTTTTGAAAAGGCAGACGATAAGAAAAAGCAAGAGTAGCCTGATAATAAAAGACGATATGAGGACAGTAGAGAAGAAGGGTCTTGGCTCAGAAAATTAGGAACTAGTATGAGTGGATATAGGCAACAACATGTGCAAGACTAACCAGTGGAATCAGTTTATAGATCCAACTTAGCTGTACTGCTAAACAGATTACTAATCAAGCAATACCAGAACCAGGAACAACGCTTTATGCAATAAAACACGATTATTTAGTAATTTCATTGTAAGGGATACTTTGGAAGTCATAATTTTGAAATTTCACTTTGAGTTCAAAAGTGACATTCTTCAGTGTGAAACTAGACCCCGAAGCTTAAACCAGCCAGTTACATAGGTATGAGGATTTGATTTGGACTCAGTAAATTAGAAAATCAGATTAAAACATACAATGGTAGAAACATAATGATGATTATTTGAGGAAATATTTCACAATTCTCAATATTGAAAACAAAATGCATTTCCCCATTAAAAAAAAATAAGATCAGTGAGAAAGATTCTTCCATGACTTACTGGGGAATTAAAGAGCAGTATTACATTTAAAAAGGAGGTTATAACGTTGTGAAGAAAAGTAGTTAAACTTACTTGGATTGGGACAGTTATAGAAACTAAGCAAAAGTTGATCAAAAAGTTAACAAAAATGAAAATACAGAACACAAAGATATATTTTCTAATAGTAAAAAAAAAGCAAGAGTTTTTATAAGTATATAAGAGAGCAGCTTAAGTAAACATTGGATACTTAGAGGCAGAAGCAGGATAAATCATCATGTGGAATGAGGCAATAGTAGAGGCATGGAACAAATACTTTTGGACTTGATATTTGTGTCCGGGTCCCAAACCTGCCATCAGGACAAAATGCAGGCCAGGAATCTGGTAATGCCACAGGTGGGGCCCAGGGAGTTTTTTGAGGCACAGCCAACAAACAAGTCTACACACAATACAAAACCAAAATGAATGCACTGTTTTTACATGACCAGGGTTGCATTTTCTTCCCAATATGCTCTATGTAGCCTGTACAAATAAGGATAGTGAGTGGGAGACAGCAAGAACTGCAGATGCCGGAGTCAACGTCAATACACTGTGACACTAAATAAAAACTGAAAGAACTGCGGATGCTGTAAATCAGGAACAAAAACAGAAGTTGCTGGAAAAGCTCAGCAGGTCTGGCATCATCTATGAAGAAAAAATCAGAGTTAATGTTTCGGGTCCGAGGAAGGGCCACCAGACCTGAAACATTAACTCTGATCTTTTCTTCACAGATGCTGCCGGACCTGCTGAGCTTTTCCAGCAACTTCTGTTTTTTGTTCAATACAGTGTGAAGTTGGAGAAACTCAGCAGGTCAGGCGGCATCAGGAGTGAGAAAGTTGATGTTTCGGGTTTACATGCTTTCCTGCTCCTCTGATGCTGCCCGACCTGCTGTGTTCCTCCAGCTCCACACTAGTAAACGATAGCGAGTGTACTCCATAGCTGGGGTATTACCGGGGTACTTAAAGCTCTGGGAGGCTGACAGCGTATCATGGGACGGTAAATTCTGGTGTTGTAATTGGAAGAATGAGAAGTCAATTATAAATGGAGGCCTGCTCTAAAGACTGTTTAAAAGTTCAGAATTAAAACTATGGCTACAGCTGCCAGGCTATCCTTATGAAAGGGGAAACCATACCACAAGAGGCCTGAAGCAGCAGCTGTGTTCCTCTAGCATTCATGGTAACGTGTTGTGAGCAGGAATTGAAGAAGGTATTGTTGACCCCATTGGTGTGTTAGGCCCAGAGATAGATGTAGAGAAAGCGAATGAACTGGCTATGATTTTCCATACTTCTGTAGATTCCAGGAGCCAGAGCAATGTATTCCAGTTTGTTGATGATACAAAGCCAGATGGGAAAGTAAGCTGTGAGGGTGACAAGAAGGACTGTATTTTCTTGGCTCCAATTGGGCTGGAACAGAAGTCAGGTAGAATAGAAGAGGAAAGGAAAACAAAATGTCCTGCTGATGTCACAGCAAAATGTCCTGGCCCTGCTTTGACCCTACCCAACTTTCCCAAGGGAAAGCAGAGAACACAGACTTCCGAATTCAGCTGTAGCTATTGTGAAACAAATCTGCATACTTGTGAGCTTTTAACAATTCCATCTCCTGAAACTTTTCTAATATTGCCAGAGGCTGTATACCTAGCTACAAGGAGGTGAAGACCATGTCTTGGGCAAATCCTAGTAGCTGGTACAGTTTAAACAGCTAGGTAGAAGTGCCTTTCATAAGTTTAAGAGTTTATCTCTTTGAAGTTAAAGTTGCAGGAGCCCATCGCTGATCTGGAGTGAAGGTAGGATGAAGAATTTTGCCAGTTTAGAGTGTTGTCACCCATTTGGAATCTTATGATAACTGGAGCAGTGAGCAAGGCTGTTTGAAATCAGAATCCAGACTGCAGCAGAAGAGGAGACTGAGAATAGGCAGGTACAGTAATAGCGTCTCTACCTCTGGGCCAGGAGACCGAGATTCAAATCTTACCTTGTCCAGAGGCTTGTAAAAACATCTCTAAACAGGTTGATTAAAAATATCTACAAACATGATTGATACATTGATGGGGAAAGGGAATGCAAAAGCCATAAGCTAATTATTTGTTTTCTTTCCCTACTTAATGATATTACTGTAGGTATTCTCATTCATGACTGTTGGTGAAAGCAGCCTGCAGCAAGCCTGACTTCTGACCATCTCTGAGGATAATGAAACACCATCACATCATTTTTCCAGACATTCCACAGCACAGATATTCACCTCAGGCTTACACTTTCATGATGAGAATCAGGGTCACAACCTGGTGAGCACATCACAGACACAGCCCTGCAGCTGATGGGGAACATGACAACCAAGGCTCCTGATTGTTGGACACCAGCAACTTGCTTCTGGAAACTGTCATAAGAAACCTCACGGAAATGGGGTTGGGAACATCTGGCAGAGATACTAGAGACCACATGCAGCATGTGGCTTTTCCCATGGAGAAATCAGTGACTGCCATGAAGAGCCAAGCATAGCAAAACTCTCAGGGGCCACCAAATGTGCATTCTGACCTGCATTCCATCAGTCTAGCCTTGAGCTTTATATAGCAGTGGCTAGGTGAGAAGGAGATAAGGCATGTCAATCATCATTTAGGCAACCTTTCCTCTCCTAGAGTCAGAGGTACCATTGTGTACTAAGATGTATCATATGCGGCCTAGGGGCATCAACTCAGGGTGTCCCAAGGACGTACAGCTGCTCCTCTTCCCCTCTGCCGGTGTCCACATTGCCTCAAGCAGGTTAGGCTAGGCACCAGTCGCTATGTGAAAAAAAAACAGAGCTGTGATATGCTTATGTTGTTCAGCAAAAACGTCCACGCTGAGACCGAGAGTTCGAGTCCATGCTGAGGCAGGGGGCTTCAATCCATACTGAGGCTGGGAGTTTGAGTCCATGCCGAGGCCATGAGTCTATGCTTTTATCCTTGATATTGCCGATTCTGCACGAGTATGGGTGGTAAAATGAAAAGAAACAAAAATGCGAAAAGAGAGAGAAAAAAAGAAAGAAAACGGACAGAGCGGACGAGCTTCAGCTGTGGAATCCTACTCCACCACTATCTTAGAGAAGAGATAGTCACAAACTATATAAATTCATGACATATATCATACATATGATCAACCAAATAGTAAACTGAGTTTCCAGCTTATCATTGAAGCAGGAAATCCAATGGATAAATTGATAAGAAAGGGGATTAAGATCTTGATTGAGATTTTCACTTTGAAACTGTGCAATATCAAACATTAACTTGAATGATTGCAATAATACTTACTGCAACTGCCTCCAGAATCTGTTTGACAGCATTTGCAGCATCTTTTTCACTGTAATATCCCTTTTCAACAATCCTACAATAGGAAAAATAAAGTATGTTATTAAAGGCAAAGTAATGAGTACTTTTATGCCAGTGTGATGTGGTATTCATGAAAAATTATTAGGTTTTAATAAAGCCAGGACTCTTAATGTTACTGCAATATGCACAATAGTGTTGAGGAAATTACCCATTTAGACTTATCACATAACTTATTAATATTCTCAATGTTTCACTTTAAGGCTTTACACAAGGGTTTTTGATAAATATTTAATAATTAAATACATAGAATGACCTTTCATCTCAAGTGGTCCATGTCAATGTTTATGTCCCACAATAAGGTCCTCCCTTTGTCAAATGCAAACAGCACAACCTTCTATTCTTCTCTCCCACATGTTTATTGAGACACCTTATCATACATCGACGATAATTTCTTCAAGTAATCCTTATGGTTGGTACAGTGACTTCATATTTAACAATTATCATGGACTTGAGTTTGAAGGTTTAGGGTCACTTGGACAGTGGAAAACTGTTTTATAAGGTCTTAAGTCATATGTCTTGTGATAATTGAAATGTCTTTGGATGTTGTTTATATCTTCCAGAAGGCATTTAATAAAATCCCACATGAGAGACTGTTAGCTAAGATAGGAGCCCATGGAACTGAGGGTAAATTCCTGACATGGCTAGGAAATTGGTTGAGTGGCAGGTGACAGAAAGTAGGAATAATGGGTGGTTACTCAAATTGGCAGAATGTGAGCAATGGCATCCCTCAAGGATCTGTTAGGATCGTAATTATTCACATTATTTATTAACGGCTTTGATAATAGCATAGAAAGTCTTATATTCAAATTTTCTGATGGCGCAAAGTTAGGCAGCATTTTAGACAGTGTAGATGATAAAATTACAAAGGGGTTTTGACAGACTAGGTGAATGGGCAAAATTGTGGCGGATGGAGTTCAATGGAAGCAACTGTGAGGATATCCATTTTGGACGGAAAAAGGATAGATCAGGGTACTTTCTAGTTGACATGAAGTTAATTATACTGGATGTCCAAAGAGACTTGGGGTTCAGGTGCATAGATCTTTAAAATGTTATGAACGGGTGTAGAAAATAATCGAGAAATCTAATTACCAAAACATTGAATGTATTCAAGATGCAGCTAGTAATAGCACTTGGGAGAATGGGATCAAAGGTTATGGGGTGAAAACAGGATTAGTCCATTGAGTTGGACAATCAGCCATGATCGTGATGAATGGCAGAGCAGGCTCAAAGAGCCAAATGGCCTCCTCCTGCTCCTATCTTCTATGTTTCTTCTATATCTTCTAATAGAATGCTGACCTTTATATCTAGAGAACAAGAGTCACCAGATGCAGAAGTTATGCTACAGTTATATAAAACTCTGGTTAGACCCCACTTAGAGTACTGTGAGCAGATTTGGGCATTGCACCTTTGGAAGGATATATTAGCTTTGGAGGGAGTAAATTGTAGGGTTACAAGAATGATAATAACCCCTGAAGTCCAGCTATGACAAACGATTCTACAAATTAGGTCTGCTTTCTCTAGAATTTAGCAGGTTATGTAGTGATCTATCTTCAAGACATTAACAGGAAGATACAGGGTAGAAAACGATGAACTATTTCCACTGATTGGAGATTCTAGAACGAGGGGGCATAGTCTGAGAGTTAGGGCCAGAAAATTCAGGATTTCTAGAGCACAGAACTCTCCATCCATAGAAACAAAACGGGATTTAAGCTCAATATGGGAGAAGCTGTCTCAGTGACTGAGACGAAAGCTCTTCTAGCCCTCCAAAGTATGACTCCACAGCCCGGGGGTTCTCCACTGAGAGTCTGAGGCTGCAGGATTGCAAGACTCCAATAGAAGGGTAAATAATTCACACATTCTTCACATCCTTCTGAATCACTATTACTCTTGGTTGAGTAAGGAAGCATTTGCAGCTCCAGTGTTAGATAAAACTCCACTGGATCCAGACTGTTTTGACACAGCTCTAATGAACAACATTCCACGAGTAGTCACCTGCTACCCTTCAAGGAACAGGTGAATGGGAGTGCAGGCCAGATTACCACTAAACACAGCAAACAGTCAGAGCAGAGGATTCTGGAGTTTGCAATTCTCTTTGAGATGACAGTGGAAAAGGTGGCTGCTAAGACACAATGAATCGTGGTAACCAGTCAGAATAAGAAATTCTGGTGCTCACACAATTTTTCAAGGTGAGCTTCTGGTGGTCATTGCTAAGATGCAACAGAAGTAGTACAATCCTGATGCAACACAGGAATATTCAGGGAGACCAAGAACACTGAAAAAAATCCCATTGCTCAGCAACCTGCCTATGCATCCACAACCAATGAGGAACCACCAGAAACAACATCCAACTCCACTCCAGGTGAGTCCAAATAAATCAAGGTTTGAGATATAAATAAGCTGGCAAAAAATAGGAAAACAGGCTCTTCAGGAGTAGACAGATGGAGGTGACAGAGGCAGCCACAATAATACCAAAGGATCCCACAGAAGAGGTCAATTTCACCCAGGAGTGATTATATATGCAACGCTAAGTATGTTGGAGGAGGTCCCACAATTGTCTTTTATCAGACAACTAATACCTCGGCCAGTGCATACTCAAGTCAGCCAAAAGAAGCCCAGCCACATTTGGCTGAGTAACAACTGGGAGGAACAGGACAAAACAGTTTGGCCCACCAGTAAGATCAGCACCAAAATAGTCCATGATGGGACATCACCCCAAAGAGGAAAAAGCCAATGTACATTTCACTTCTAAGAAGGAAGCACACACACAGCACCAGTCCTACCCTTCCTCGAGGAGGACTGAAATCAATGTCAACTTTAAAGTCTCACCAAAAGAAACTTGGTGGGGAGGGATGTAAAAACATATCATTAATTGATATAGATATGTAAACATGTTAATAACAGAAATAAAAGTGAAAATGTTAATGATGGGAAAGAGTAAACATTCAGGAACAGGATGAATGTTTGGGTGAGGAAGGTACTGGGTAGTAAACAGCAGCAGCTGAGAGCCAAAAACATAGCAGGAAATGATGTCACATTACGTGACATTGCCTGTAGAAGGAATTGTGCCAAGAGAGACAAGATATTTTCCTTTCTGTACATGATTCAATAAAAAATTCTGACTACTAAGACCTACTGCAAACCCACTCTAAGAACATTTACAGCACCCTCTCTAACAGGTTTTATGGTGGGGGTGAATTTAATCTGGTGGGACATTAGCAGGTATCTGCTGTTCTCTTATTCTGGCTCCAATTAAGTTCAAGGTAGGAAGACGCACTGGGCAGATCATTCACGATGCAGGAAACCTGAAAAGTAAATCTTGCTAGGATTGTAATACTGAGCTCTTTGATACTCTAACTTACCCTTGCTTCAATCCCCTTCTCCCCTGGAACCCTCACCCTCCGACCCGCCTTCACGCATCTGGATAACTGCCTGTGTCTATTGGTGTTTCTGGGCCTTAGATGATGTAGTACCAGCAGCAGCCCAATTTCCTTGTTGGTGCTGGCAGTCAAAGAACTGTCAGCCTTTGACTGGCCAATGGCTCTCCAAAGGCTAGGTCACAGGGTCCCACCTCTACCCAAAAGTTTCATTCAGTTTCTAAAACTCTCTGGACTTTGCCCCTGTTCCTATTTTTGAAATATTCTCCAAGACTTCATCCAATTGTGCTCTCTTCGGCACACTCAATTTTAAGTGCTCTGGCATAGGTGGGTATGCCTTCAGCTGTCTGGGCTCCAAGCTCTAGAATTATTCCATGATACACTTTTGCCTCTCTCTCTCTCTCTTTTCTCCATGAAGACACTCCTTCCAACCTAGTTCTTTAACCAAGCTTTTGGCTATCTGCTCTAATATTGCCTTCTGTAGCTTGATGTAAACATTTTGTTTTTATAGTATTACTATGAGACACCCTGGGTCATTTTATTGTGTTCAATGTAAGTTGTTGTTGTTGATAGTAGCATCTACATTCCACAACACAAAATTATTATATTTATCCACCAAGTTGTTATCTATGACTTAATTACTTTGTCTGAGTTATAACTAAAAGGACTGGGCAGTGGCAGTGCTCCCAAAAGGGTTGTGGAGCCTAAAGTGAAAAAACAAAAGTAACTTCTTTCGCATAAACCATTTGTTAGGCCACAACAATGCTACAAGAACTGGAGCCAAATAACCCCTACTTCTGCTCCGCTCCCCACTAACTAACTTTACTCAGGGATCCTCAGCATCATCAGACTATGAAGGAGGCCTAATGTTTATTTAGGACATCCTTCCAGGTAGTCTCAAAATTAACTAAAACCAATATGACTCCAGAAATACATACAGTGCCCTTGAGGTGAGGGATATAGCTGTGAAATAGATCAAATTTCCTCCAATCGATGCCTGGAAAACAGGCGCAATGAGGGTCAATTTCTATCCCTTTATGCACTTCCTTTAAATTCTTTCCGTTAAAGCTTCCTATGTTCAATTCTCTAATGGAAATTTTTCTTTGTAATATTTCATGTTGTTCTTACAGCCTCCTAGTGGAAATGGTTCAAAACCAGGCACAGCCAGACACTATAATTACCATGAGATTGACTACATGGGAATTTGCAATTAAAAAGTACACAATTTTGGATAGCATATATGTTTTTAATGGGGTCTAAATTATAGCTATGTGCCTTAATTTAAATACCATGTTGCTTCTTGCTGTTTTCACCTGAGGACCATGTGTGATCTTGACTTTCACAGGAAACCATCTTGAATATTTTAAAAGTTATCTGTAGAACACACATTTCTGCAAAGTTCTATATTAATTTCCTATAACACTTCACACATTTCCTTTTATTGCTATAACTTTTACATCCAAAATAAAACACCCTTGGGTTTAAGATCATAGCAGATTTCAGATGTACCTGGATTTTAGTCACCCAGATCATGGGGCAGGGGGAGGTCCAAATTTTATTTACTTGAATATAAATATCCAATTCTCGTAAAATTCTCAAGCTATGACCTCAGGTGATCAAGTGCCTAATAGCTTTGAAGTCTGGCAGGGATGAGCTTACTCCTGATATTTCAGCCAATGAACAGGCCACCACCATAAAATCCAGCCTTATATACATACACTCACATAAAAACACATACTATAAACTGTATCATTATTAAATACTACATACAAAGGAAACCAAATCATGAAAGATATGTAAATGCCTGAGACAGGTAAAAGCTGATTAAATATAGTAATACAGCCTTACAATTCCTTATTAATCTAACTCTGAAATAAAGCAGACACCTGTCAAATAGTTCTCCTCCTGTGACCAGTTCCAGAACCAAATTGATCTCTGTTAGAGTCTCAAAGATTTCTTTCAGTCTAATCTGTAAAATAAATGAATGAAGTATTTATAAAATTATACATAAAAAGACAATTATTAAATATGTTTTCCTACCTATCTATTTGCAAAGATTTCAACAACTATGAATTATACTGATTGTACTGGACTCGGTATTTGCCATTCTCAACTACTATCCGAGCAGAACCTAAATATCGTGGATCATGGTGTAACACATTTAATACTGATACAGTAAGGCTTGGATTGTGCTCGAGATCCTTTGCTTGCTAACTGTTTCTATTGGGATATGATAAACAGAGTTCAGATCCTTCACACATTTGCAACAAATGGGCAGGAATGTCTCTTGTCCACTCTCATGGCTGCATCAAAATCATAAAGGCACTGGATTATGAAAAGGCTTCAATGTCATTCCTTTTGAATATAGATAATGTCTAGTGTGGTGTAGAACTAATGGACAATGTGCAAATTAAAACCACTGAGGTTACTATTAACACCAAAGAAAAAACTGAGATCGTGGCCAATGTAAATAACCCAAATTAATTTCCCACAAAATTCAGGAGGGTAAAACATAAATTATTAAAAGGCCTATTTTAACCTTGTCCATCTGGTGGCAAATAGGTCAGGTAGTCAAAGTCTGGCTCTACTCTTCTTGTATCTTGACATATTTACAGCCACCACCATTTTAGCTGGGGGGCTTTTAACAACTTTGAGAAAGTCCATGGCAGACAGACCTCATTATAATAAAATGTTGGATTCCAATGACATGATTCAGACTCTGACAGAAACTTTATTGCTAATCCCAATAGTAATCTGGCAGTGTCAGAACCACAGTTGAAGGCTGGCATTAAGCCAAAACGTAGCCAGAAAAGGACCAGGTAAATTGAAAAGGAATATTTTTAATTTTTCTTTTGTGAACCACAAGAATTGATGTGCTCCTCCACTCCCAAAAATAAAATCTGAGCATCCCACTGCCTTGTGCTTCAGTCCCCTCCCCTGACAATGAGCATTTTGGACATACCTTTATGATTAATGGTTGGAACTGTCCCCTTGAATTCCCAGCAGTGATCTCGCTGCTGTCTTTTGATCATTCCTACTGGGCTCAGGCAGGAATCATGGTTATCATATTGCTGAGCACCACGCAGTAAGAGTGCTGAACTGTTTGATAGCTACCTTGTGCCCCGCACCACTCACACGCACCCCCCTGCCCCCGGCCCCCCAACATATAGGCTCCAACCCCCACACATGGCTCTAGTTCAAATTGAATCTTAAAAGAAGTACATGACAGATCAAAAGATTATAAGACTAAAGATATAGGAGCTTAATTAGGCCATTCAGCCCATCAAGTCTGCTCTAACATTCAGTCATGGCTAATATGTTTCTCAATCCCAATTTCCTGCCTTCTCCCCATAACCCTTGATCTCCTTACTAATCAAGAACCTATCTTTCTCTGTCTTAAATATATTCAATAACTTGGCCTCCACAGCCTTCTGTGGCAATGAGCTCTACAGATTCACTACCTTTTCACTGAAGAAATTCCTCCTCATCTCAGTTCTAAAAGGTCATCCCTTCACTCTGAGGCTGTGGTCCCAGTCATTTCCATGTTCCAAGTTGAAAGGGAATTAAAATATATGGGATATTTTCTATGGATTATACAACTCATCGTAATATACAGGAAACATCTTTGCAATTTTTCAGGTAAAAATGTTTTCACCTGCTAGCAATCAATCACATGAAATTTACGTTGTACAACATTTTCACGGAAGAGGAAAGATCTGATCACTTTCAAATCTGATACAAAGAATTAAAAGCAGAACACATTCAGCAGCAGCTTCAAACATATGGACAAAACATAAAACTGCCCCTCCCCAGTTATGTATTTGAAATGCTATGGTGACACCTCGATATGAATATTAATATGCAAATAACAAATCTGTACTACAATGGCATAAAAACAACTAAATATATTTGTGATATATAAGACATGGGCAATTAACATTAAAAATCAACAATCAACATTCAATCTATACCATATTTATACTCAGCTTAAAAGCTATAAATTGTCCAGCTTCTAAACAGAAAGACGTGGGAAAATTATTAAAGTTTTATAATATGTTAATAAATGGGCAATTTTGATATTGTGAAATTTATGATAATTCATACTTACAATATTGGGGTGGGAGAGTCTAAGTAGAACTCCGATTTCAGTTCGAACTATTTTTTTATCTATCTGTGAAACAATGGAAGATATAAATATATTTTGCTATAGTATACATGAAATAAAATGTTTAAGTTTTGGTGGCCTACCTAATACCTCAAAACACATGCACACCTACTCTCGTCTCAGTATTCTTAAGTTTAGATTGGCAGTAGAATGAAATCAACTTAGAGTGTTTTTTGACTGTATAATTGTGAAATATGATTAACATTATTTCAGTCCCCCAGTTGATATACTAAGACTCATCTTTGCTTTGGCTCTAACCATTCTGGTTGTACATTCCAAAAAAGAAACACATGTTTTAAACCTAACCTTGACAAATCCTCCAAATTTCTAAGAGCAAGAAATCTAGGAACATGAAGAACAGAAGCCATTCCATCTTTCAAACCGATTCCATTATTCAGTTAGATCACAGTTGATCTGCTGCTCAACTTCATTCACATACCTTCATTCCGTATCACGCTATATGGCCTTACCTAACAGAAATCATTGCCTTGCAAGCATGCATAGTCCTACCATCCAGAGCCTTTTGCAAAGAGAGACAGGGATTCCCGATTTCTATCATCTTTTGTGTCAAAAAGTGTTTTCTAATTTCACTCTTGGTTGGTCCAGCTCTAACTTTATTACATTCCCTTGACTCTCTGTATCTACTCCCTTATTTAATCATCAACTGATCATGAAGTTACCAGAAAGCCGCAATTAAAAAAAAAAGAAATTCTTCTTGATATTGAGTTTTCACAATAACTGAATATGAATCATTAATGAAAGCAATATCATTAGCAAAACTGAGGACAATAATTTGTTCTTCAGCTCTAATTGGTTTACTAAGAAATTTGAACAGTTCTTTAAGGATGCTTGGTAATACCAGCAAAAGGATGGTTCCCAATTTTGTAGCCTCCTTAATTTCACTTCTGCTATTAAAGTTTCCTGTCTTAGTCACTGTTGCTGTATAAGATATCAGGACTGTAAACTTACTTGAAGTTTGGCTCCTTATTAATAATTTATCAATGAACTTATGCTCCTGTGTGTCAAAAAACTTTTACTGATTTTCCTTTATATTAATATCATGAACAGTCAATTTAGTTAACAGTAATAGACCTAGTCCAGGTAAAAACAATGAGTAATAGAGTCATCAAGCATGGAAACAGACCTTTGGTCCAACCAGTCCATGCCGAACATAATCCCAAACCAAACTAGTCCCACCTGCCTGCTCTTGACCCACATCCCTCCAAACCTTTCTCATTCATGTACTTATCCAAACATCTTCAAATGTTGTAATTGTACCCACATCCACCACTTCCTCAGGAAGTTCATTCTGTACACCCGCTGTGTAAAAAAAATTGCCCCTCATGTCTTTTTTAAATCTCTCTCCTCTCACCTTAAAAATGTGCCCCCTAGTCTTGAATTCCACTATCCTAGACGAAAGGCAACTACCATTAACTCTTATCTATATCTCCCATTAATTTATTAGCTTCTATAAGGTCGCCCTCAACCTCCTATGCTTTTTAACCACCCTGTCTACATGTGACACAAACTTCAAAGAATTATGCACCTGAATCTCTAGGTCCCTCTGTTCTACAACACTACCCAAGGTACTACCATTAATTGTATAAGCTCTATCCTTGTCTGTTTTGCCAAAATGCAATAACTCGCATTTATCCAGATTGAACTCCATCTGCCAGTTTTCCGCCCATTGACCCATTTGATCAAGATCTCGTTGTAATCTCAGAAAAACTTCTTCACTGTTTACTATGAGTCCTTTAGGTAATGGAGAATTCAAGGGATATCTGTTTTCCCACAGCTTTAACAACTTTTGCACCTTCCCCATCTATGAATTTGATTTCCATCTGTGAGGGAAACACCTACCTGTATATTGGCAGTTATGCAGAAATAAGATCAGTATACAGCAAGACGCAGAGGTCATTTTCAACAATTTTCATCTCAATTCATTATTTTAATAATCTTATATAAAACATAAATCTGCAAAGCACTGCAACTAGATTGGTGGGATTTCCAGCAACTTTATCATTGACTCAACTCCAGTTGCATATCATCTTGTTGCTAATAGATTTTACAGCTACCTATGTGTTTTTTGTTGAAGGGCTGCTGGTCACTTACACAGAACAAAATAGAGTGATGAAGGAGGTCATCATGTCAACATCAGGTCTCTAAATGACCAATTCATTTAGTGCCATTCCTGTGCCTGCTCCCCTAACTCTGCACATTTTTATTTTTCAGTTAATAATTTAATTCTATTTTTAATGCCTCGATTAAATGTGCCTCCATCACACTCTTGCGCAGTGTATTCCTTATCATGAACATTCACTACGTGGAAAAGATTTTCGTCATGTTGCTTTTGTTTCATTTGTCAATCATTTCAAAACCCCCTCTTATACTTGATTCTTTTAGAAGTAGGAGCTTCTCCCCATCCACTCTGCCTAGACTCCTCATGAATTTGATTACCTCTATCAGATCAGCCTTATGTTCTTTGAAGTAAACACTCCCAACTGCTCCAATCTATTTTCATGACAGAAGTTCCTCATTCCTGGAAAATGAATCTTTTCTGCACTCTTTCCTAGATATAGTGCCACAACTAGAGACAAAACTCCAAGTAAATCCAAAGTAACATCTTATACAAATTCAGTACCACCTCCTAGCTGATTAATAAAGTAATACTGTATGCTTTATTATTTGCTCTCTCAACCTGCCATGCTGCCTTCAATGACTCTTGACATGTACACCCAAGTCTCTGCTCCTGCACACCCTATATTTTATACTGTATCTCCATATACTTTCCAGCAAAATAAATATTTTATATAATACCAAAATACACAATTGCAGAGATTGGAAATGCCTCTGAGGAAGAAGAACAATGGAGGGATTCCAAACTGATGAGGGAGCAACCAGCACCAGTACCAGTTCATGTAAAGATCACACTATACAAAGGTCACTATTAAATCTGAAACCAGATCTACAGCTCATGGCAGACTGACGGCCACTGTGGCCATCATAAAACTAATTGTGTCTAGATGCTCAAGGTTTATCACAAGAATATTATTTGCTGGTGCAAAAATGCACCCACTTTCACAATCCTATTAGGGATCACTGACATGCCCAGAAAAATCCAAACAAGTAGAGATTAACCAACAGAAATGTGCCACAAGATTTCATGTTTTTAAACTGAAACAAATTTCATTACATATCAAGTTAATGCTTATTTCCCTGGAAGCTCCATTTTTAATGTATTTTAATGTGCCAGTACTCTTCTACCCCAGAGGAAAAATCTCAGGTGGCTTCATGGAGGTGATAGCTACTCTCTTCAGGTAATGACAATTGTGCATATTTAGTATCAGTAGTATATTAATATCTATGTAGTGATCAGTCATTTTATTAAACAAACAATTGGAAAGTTGAAGATACACTTCGGGTGCTTAGATTACTATTCAGGTTATAAAATCTGTTTGAATGTCTAGCTTGTCAACGTATGCTGTCTGTTGCACAGTTCTGCATTACAAAGTGAGGTTGGCACAGAGGAATCAGAACAAGAAGACACCAAGGGCAATGGTAAAAGAGTAAAAAGAAAGCAAAAGAGCAAAAAAGTAGCAAGGACTTGAAGAGAACACAAATATACAAAATATGAGCAAAAGTAGACCATTGAGACTACTCTGCCATTCCTATTAATCCAATAACCTATGATTCTCTCATTAAAAAGAATCTCAGCCTTAAAAATATTTAATAACCACTTCTCCACTGCCTTTTGAGGCAGAGAGCTCCAAAGTCACACAACCCTCTTAAGGAAAAAAAATTCTCTTTCTGTCTGTCCTTAAAGGGTGGCCCATATTTTTTAAATGGTATCTCCTCATTTTGGATTGACTGACAAGAGAAAACAATCATTCCACTTTGTCAAGACCATTTTGGGTCTTAAAATCATCCCTCACTCTTCTGAACTCCAATGGAAACTAAGCCCAGCCTGTACAATGTATCCTTTGAAGGTACTCATTCCAGGTGTCTGAACTGCCTCCAATGCATTTACATCCTTCCTTAAACAATGAGATCTAAACTGCACACAGTATTTTAAAATGACAACTGAAAGACACATTCACAGATCTTTCATTGCAGAGTCGTTATCTTGACTTCTATATCAGACTAGGGTGTTAACAGCTTCTCCTTGTAGAACCGAGAGTTGCAGGAAGGGTGCTGGCTGATTGTGTGTGACACTGAGAGAAAAGGTCAATAATCATGGAACTGTGGGTAAGTAGTAACTATGGACAAGTTGTGAAAGATTGTTTCCACTTGTCGTAAAATGGGAGCAGAGGCTAAAGATGTGGTCTGCCTACAACATATGGACCGTAGCGATTCAAAAAAAATCATCCCCTTCTCAAAGGCAATTAGTGATGGGCAACAAATGCTGACCTTACCAACAAAGCTCAAATCCCACTGAGGCAATGACTAAAATATAATTTGGAAAGGAACTGGACAAGTATTTGAAAGGAGGATTACAAGAGGATCTGTGGGAAATGGAATTACTATCTCAGGTGTCGGGAGATAAACAGGTTTCTCACTTGCTGTACTTTTATCCTTCTATGACATGTGTTCATCAATTGAGTTCAGAAAGTGGCTTACAAATGTTAATGCTGAGCTGAGTTTTAGAAGAGTAGGAGGGAGCCTGGCAGGCTACCTTGCTGAAGCATTGGGTGGGACCCCCTATATTCATAAATACATACCTACACACACATGCACACACACATTCCCCAAGCAACTCAATCAATCTTGTACTTTGTAATTATAATCTTATAACTGGGGCTAGATAGAACAACCATGCAAGTATGTTAATACAAAACCTTTATGGATCACTAATAGTCTTTAGGGAAGGAAACCTGGTTTTGCTGAAGGGCCATCAACCTGAAACATTGATGGGCGAGATAAGTAAAAATTCAAGCAATTAACACCCACACCTGCTTGGTCCAACTTATATGGGACACAAGGTCATACACAATGGGGTTGGTTCATGG